TTTATATATATATATATATATATATATATATATATATATATATATATATATATATAGTGACACTATATATTATTGACATCAATTTTGTGTTTATTAAGAATTACATCTTTATGCCACATTTTAGAAAGTGTAATATATTCACTTAATTCAGTTAATGCCTAAAGTCCATGTTGCTAAAAACAAATCACACACATTTTTAATGTGAATATCGACCACTGAGTATGTATTACACATTTGAGGACACATTCGGATGCAAGTCTATTTCTTTTTTTATGCTCATAGTACTTCCTGCAAGTGTCCACATGAGGACATTGTAGACCATGACATTTTTACTGGCTTCACTGTCCCCGAGCTCCACCCATGTTCAGCAGATGATTTTACAGACACAGACAAAGAGATTCAGTTGGAGAAGAGGCGAGGCGCATCGACAGGAAAAAAAGGACACTCTTCATACCCGTTGGTTCTTTGAAGCTTGCAATTTTATTAATGGGATTTTGTATATTTTTTTCTGATTATTTGTAATCATGTATAATCTGGGGAGATCACGTCTTTTGTGGATTTTTCTCACCGTTTTGCTGCTGGATTGTTTATGTGAGACTGTTTCAGGACATCTATCCTACTCCGTCTCTGAGGAGGTAAATCGGGGGACTGTTGTCGGAAATATAGCAAAAGATCTCAACCTGAATGTTCAGGATCTTGAATCCCGGATGTTTCAGATTGTTGCTGGATTGAAGCCAAAATATTTTGATGTAAATTTAAAAACTGGTGCTCTCTTTGTAAATGATAAAATAGACAGAGAGGAGCTCTGCGGTGATGTAGCCAAATGCTTATTGAATATAGAAGCAGTCATTAACGATCCTCTTAAATTGTACCGCTTTGAAATTGTTATATTAGATGTGAATGATAACTCACCATCATTTGTCAGCACCTTACAATTATTGAATATAAGTGAGAATGCAGCAGCTGGAACAACATTCTTCCTTAATCCTGCTGAGGATGCGGATGTGGGTAAAAACACTGTCAGTAGCTACAAGCTGAGCCAGAATGACTATTTCTCTTTAGTCACCCAGAGAGGAGAAAATGTGAGTCCTGAACTGGTGCTTCAAAAAATTTTAGACAGAGAAAAACAATCTGAGATTTCACTCACTCTGACTGCCATTGATGGAGGAACACCTGCTAAATCAGGCTCTATGACTATAATAATAACAGTGCTGGATATTAATGATAACCCCCCTCTATTCAATCAAACTCTGCTTAAAGCCAAAGTTTACGAAAATGCAAAAATTGGCACTTCAATAATAACATTACATGCAGAAGACTTAGACACAGGACATAATGGAGAGGTGTTTTATTCAATAAGTAAAATAGGTCGAGGTAAACAAATGGAAACATTTGCGATTGATGAAAAAACAGGGACTGTAACAAACAAAATTATGATCGACTTTGAGGAAAATAACGCTTTTGAAATTCGAGTTCAGGCCCGGGATGGAGCTTCTCCACCAATGATGTCACAGACAAAATTATTAATTGAAGTGTTAGATGTGAATGACAATGCTCCTGAGATCACAGTAACTTCTCTGTTAAACACTGTGAAAGAAGATGCAACCATCGGTACAGCTATTGCTCTGGTGTCAGTATCAGACAAAGACAGTGGTAAAAACGGATTAGTGAACTGTAAAATTGCAAATGCTGTCCCTTTTAAACTAGATTTAAATTATAAGAACTACTATTCATTAGTGGTGGACGGTCCTTTGGACAGAGAGAGAGAACCTCAGTATAACATCAGCATCACTGCTACAGATGAGGGCAGCCCGCCTCTCTCCAGCAC